AAGCAATATTCGCCACAAACTGAAGTCCTATGAACATTCCAGTTCAATCTTTTAAACACATTACCTAATTTTGTTAAAATTTATATTTATAAAATACAAAATCTTATTACTTATTATCTATAAAATAGGAGCGAAACATCTCATCCACTAACATATCGTTGTACAATGTGTTCTCTGTAAATATACTCGTAAAACTATGCATTGAACATCCCTGAAACTTATATAGCAAATACATTAAGCAATATTCGCCACAAACTGAAGTCCTATCAACATTCCAGTTCCATCTTTTACAATTTCGTACAGGTGCCCGTCCATATGAATCAAAATATTCACCGACGTCATTCGTATCGATATATAAAGCTACCCAATGTGACCCTGGTTTATCATCTGTACCCAAATTGCATATTACCTAGTCAGGTCATAAATTCTATCACATGTTTAATGTAAAATAATTGAAACAAGTTTATTCATTATGTAACCATTTATATACCAAAATGAACTTAACAAAACATAGATTCTTATGACACTATAGTTTATTCAAAATGACCTCCGTAATTTTGAATACAGGCCTTCAATCTGCGCGGCCAGTCGTCTATCTCACCACGAACGAGGTCCATGTCATATCGGCGGCTGCCTTAATTAAAGATGTCTTGAGTGACTCGAAATTGGGATGAGGCTTTGAGCACGCCTTTTCCTCCAAGTGTTACCATATCTTGTAATCTAACGGATTCAAATCTGGACTGGTCTTTGTGTCGGATGAAGTCGATTTCACGCGCCGCCAGCCAGTCTTTTTTTTTGTTTTTAAAGAACGTTACCTCCACACTAGGTTTTTCTCCTGTATCGTGGGGGGCAGTTTACAAACACAAATTTCACAAGGACAAACATCCAAACTCGGAACAATTACTTGTAGGTCGTACAAATACTTGTTCCGTGCGGGATTCGAACCCGCGACCCCCAAGCGCAGCCACTCATTGCTAAGCCACTACGCCACGGAGCTGTCAAAAGTCTTGTGTGCTCTTCGCTCTATGAGCTGACGCCGAATCTTGTTGGAATACCCAGTGCCTGTTATTGAACATGGTATGAGAAACAGGTTACACAAGGTTCGTCAGGACTGTATTTTGATACACAACTGCATTCGTTTTTAACCTTTCTCACAAAAATGTACCTCTGTTAAGCCCCAATAAGAAACTCCCAACCATACCATGAGCGAGGATGGAAAATGACCTCGTTGGACACGCGGAATACGGTTGCTCGCTTCTTCACTACTGTGTGCGTACACCTTATCATTTTGTTTGTTGTAGCTCTCTTCTACGGTAAAAAATTTTTTTATCCGAAAAAAAGAATTTCCCGATATTTTTTTCCCGCGTACCGCTTCACCAAAGCGCGGCATCTCTTCAGTCTCAGATCCATTAGACGAGCATTCAAACGATGTCCTGTTTTTCTTCGATATGCCCGAAGCCCTAAGTCTTCATTTAACGCCGTGGTTCTGCTTAACCCCATCTGAAGGGCCAACAGTTTCTGCTTACGTTTGGGATTTCTTTGAATTCGCACCTTTACAGCTTTTATCACTGCTGGAGTCCTAACAAATCGAGGGCGACCACTTCTTGACCTGTCATCTACACTAGAGTCTTCATTGTATCGTTTGATGGTACGATAAACGAATCTTTTGGTTATATTCAAATTTTTCAGTATATCAAAAAATTTAATTGGCGCGTAATCGCAACTGCAACACGGTCTTTTTTAAGCGTCCACTCCATATGTAAAATTGAGTAAAATTCTAAAAAGTATACAGTTTTATTTTCATGAACAATACGAATTCAATAAACTTTTTTGTGGCCAGCATTCTAAAAGAAAAGTTTTTACTGTGTGACAATACTTATGACCTGACTAGGTATATACGTTGGTACGTGGGTGTACATGGGCAGTCTGTTAGCAGCATAAACATTATTTTCTAGACTGGGGTGAATCTTTTTCAGATGTTGTTGTACATCTAGTGTATCCATGATATTACTGCTATTAGTAGATTACTACAGTACAATCTGCTCAATGACTAACATAGGAATGATCAATTATGTGATTTCTAAATATTAAATTGCATTTTTTCTGTTATACAAAACGTATTTGAGTCATCAATACACTGAATAAGACGCAACACGAAGAATGTGAGATAAGGTTGTTGACGCATAAAGTTATTATCAATTCTACTGTAGAAATTCTTTAGATTAGAATTATTACTTACTGGTACTATATAAGACCAAGCAACTGCAGTCATGGAGTTAGTGTATGGTCGTTTGACCGCAGTGTATCTATCAATAATACATTTGCGTTACTTCAACGCATCAAAGGCCATAGATGTAAGTGTTTAATCTATTGACAAACTTACTTTTCTTTCTGTTATTTTTTTACGTGTGTATGATTTTGAACGACAGGCCTGTTGGTCTAGTGGTTAGTGACCCTGACTGTTATGCCGGAGGTCGTGGGTTCGATTCCCACCCAGGACAAATGTTTGTGTGATGAGCACGATCATTTGTTCTGTGTCTGGGTGTAATTTATCTATAATATTTATGTATTTAGAAATATATAAGTATGTTTATCAGTTGTCTAGTACCCATAACACAAGCTCTGCTTAGCTTGGGACTAGATGGCGTTGTGTGATAGTTCTGGAATATTATTATTATTTTGGGGTATCTATATAGTTTTCTCATCTGGTTGGGTTCTATAAATATATAATTATAAATGAAAATGAAAAGATAAATATACATAAATATCAATAACATAAAATAAATATAAAAGTACATAAATAAATAAAAGCCCAACCAGATGGAGGCCCTCGGCAGGGGAGACCAAACGGCCGAGGGTTAGGGGGAAAGGGAAAGAAACCGGCGGACGATGCGGGCGGTATCGAGGAGCACCGCCTTCTGCATTTGAACCTGGAGCGGTCCGCCACGTAGTGCCAGCCGCCTCAGATGACCCGAGAGGCTGACTGGGATTAGCCCGTTTGCAGAGACGACTACAGGAATAATTTCGGTCGGCAGACCACCCCACATGTCGGTCACCTCGTGAGCCAGGTCCAGATATTTTGTTTGCTTGTCTGTTTCGGCTTTCACGAGGTTCTCGTCATACGGAATGGTAATGTCGACCAAAAATATCCTTGACTGTGCCCGGTCCATCAGCACAATATCAGGCTTATTCGCAAGAATAGTCCTGTCTGTGATGATGGCCCGGTCCCAATAGAGCCTGGCGCGATCATTTTCGAGCACGGCTTCCGGCAAGTACTTGTAATACGGCAATTTCCGATCCACGAGACCGTATTTCAGAGCGAGCTCCTGGTGTAGAATTCTGGCTACTAGGTTGTGCCCGTGCAAGTACTCAGAGTTAGAAAGCGCCGAACAACCGGAGATAACATGCCTAAGTGACTCACCGGGATGGCGACAAGCTCGACAGATGTCGACGGTGCCATCCTTTAGGATGTATCTCCGATAGTTGTTGGTCTTAATAACCTGATCCTGTATTGCACAGACAAAACCCTCGGTTTCCCCGAAGAGATCACCAAAGCGTAGCCAGTGGAGGGAGGCTACTGTGTCTACGAAAGGCTCATGTAGAGCCTTGTAGAACCTCCCGTGGAGCTCCTTCTCCTTCCATACGGTCTCCCGGTCGGAAATGCTCTGCACTGCCGGGTCTTGCCATTGCTCGTTGGCTAAGGATAGAGGGGTAAGTCCTTTATCACAAGAAATGACGTCCTTATAGAATGGATCATCCGATCTCGCCAGGAAGTAATCACGGAGGCTGCACACTTCGCGATTATGCATGGTGAGCGCGCTCAAGAAGCCACGACCACCATGCTTCCGCGGCAAATACAGCCTCATTACCGACGATCTCGGATGATGCATCCTATGGGACGTCATTGTAGTGCGGACTTTTCTATCCAGGGCGTTAAGTTCAGTCTGAGTCCACCTGAGTATGCCAAAGGTATACATGAGGACAGGCATGACCCAGCCGTTATATGCGTGTGCCTTATTCACACCGGACAAAAGGCTGTTAAGCACTTTGGTCAAGCGTGCATAAAACACGTCGCAAACTGACTGTTTCATACCAGTCTCATCGATACCGATGTTTTGTGACATACCCAGGTATCGGTATGTTTCAGCCTCGGAAAGGGTCCTTAAGTTGACGGGCATAGATAAGTCTACGCCCTCAGAGTTAGCAACCCTTCCCCTTTCAACATGGAGGACCGCACACTTATCCGTCCCCAGCTCCATTCCAATGGAATTGCTAAATTCACAAGTGATGTTTAGCAATTCCATAAGATGGGAGCGACTGAGGCGAATAACTTGAGGTCATCCATATAGAAAAGGTGGGTCACTTTTGTCCCTCCTTTCCGTAGCTGAAATCCCCTCCCGGAGCCCTCCAGTAAGGTACTGAGAGGGTTCAGAGAGAGGCAGAACCAGATTGGACTCAGACAATCGCCCTGGAAGATACCCCTTCTTATCCTTATGTGGTTCTCCGCAGCCATCATCCGCTCGCCCAGATGACAAAGGATCGTACTCCACTGCCCCATACACTGCTCGAGGAAGTCTCTAACTGTACAGTCTATCTTGTACAGCTCGAGGACTCTCTTTAGCCATGTATGGGGCACCGAGTCGAATGCCTTTCTGTAGTCTATCCAGGCGGCGGAGAAGTTCCGACGGTTGCGTTTCACCACTTTGCCAATGACCGCGTCAATGAGGAGTGGTTCCTTGGTTCCACGACCACCGCCCCGACATCCATTTTGAGCGCGCGACATCACCTGATTTGAGTCCAGGTGACAAGTGATTCTCGCGCTCAAAATGGATGTTAGTGTCTTGTATATGGTCGGTAGACACGTATGGGCGGTATTTGCTCGGGTCTGTGGTACCCTGGTCTTTAGGAACCAAATGAGTGATCCCAGTAGTGAAGAGGCTTGGGAGCGACTTCTGGTTGAGAGCCTCTTGAAACTGTCGGGCGAGCACAGAGTGACACACCATGAACCCCTTCAGCCAGTAGTGATGCAGCCCGTCAAGCCCCGGACTTTTCCAGTTCGGGGCCCTACGGACCGCCTCAGCTACGTCATCCGGCGTTATGATGACGGGGTCCATGAGCGTAATACCCGCACACTGACTCGCCACAACTTCCGTCCAAGGGCCCTCGCTATGGTTTACGGGCTCTGACCACAGGCCGCGCCAGAATGCTACAGTGTCGGCCTGATTCGGTGCTGGACCCGTTCCACTTACCATTGGTCGCTCCAATGATTCATAGAGCCTCTTCTGATCACTCTGGAAGAGACGATTCTGGTTGAACCGTGTCGACCTCTCGGTATATCGCCGAATCCGCTTTCCCCAAGCAGCGATTCTCTGCTTCAGATCATCTATGCGCTCCGTCAGTTTTTGCGTTATATCCGGCTGGGACAAACTGACATTTGTCCCAGCAAACGCCATCCTGACGGTGCGCACAATTCTTGGCCTGTTGTTGCCTGATCTGAAGCATATCAGTCTGCCGATGAGAGCTCTAGCCTTTGCGATACGTTCCTCAATTCTTCTTCTCCATGCTGGGATAGCGCTACTATGGCCAGTAGCGCGTCCAGCCGTGGAAACCTTGGCGCCTATGATACGGCAGACTGCCAGCGCGGCGCCAAAAAGAATTGAGTCCGTCTCGCAAAGGTCCCGGCTGGCTTCCAAATAGGTAACCAGCATTGGGTTCAGAGCCCTCACGACAGCCCGATTCCGCTTGCTTAGGGCTATGCGGGGAAGTCGCGGTCGATTTTCGAGAGGCGTACTGCGCGTTTCCACAATCGCCTCTTCCAATATACTCCTCATATGCTCTAATTCCAGTTCCTGGGCGACTGTTCCATCATCGTTTGAATCAACCACAACTGGGGTATTCACGGCGGCATCCACGTTTGCGGGTTGCTCTACCATTTGTGGCGCCGCATCCTCAGCCGTAGCATTCTCATCCGACGAGGGAACAGCCTCACGTCGTAGCCGTTCGAGTTCGGCGACATCAAATATATTTGAGCGCAAGATATACCGAACTCGGTCTGCCAGGTTTTGCTCTGTGACGGTTAAAGATGGCTCCAGCTCAGCAAAAAGACGATGCATCCTAGCCCGATACGCCAAACATCCAGTTTCTTCCCCTTTTGCCCTAAAGTACGCCCGCAGTGCGTTTGCATTCATTTCTTGTTGACCAACGCATGCGACGTGCTCCACCAGCGGCGGGTGCCGCTTGCTGAGTCCGAGAAGACCCAGCCGACACCAAGCCTTCTGGTGGGGATGATGGATGCGGAGGGCTGGTAGGTGACCGTGCAGCTCCTCGCGCTCGGCTGGCGGCCCGCATGCTGCCGCGTCCAGCGCCAGCTCCAGACGCGCCCCGGCGACCCCCAGGCAGCGGCCCTTTGCGCACTATCTTTTTATCCATCATCCATTACTTGGGCGTCCATTAACGGGAGACGCCCAGGCCCGGCACCGTTTCGTGTGTAGCCATAAGCACAAACGGGCCTCTGCACCCTAAATTCTGCCGCGGCACGGCGCTCACACCTCTCGCAAGGCGCTGACTGACTGCGTTGACGTAGCGGTTTTGTCACTTAACCGTTACGTCAGCGGGCGATGGGGTCGTCAATTCCCTACGCCTTTATTATTATTATTATATGGGGTATCTATATAGTTTTCTCATCTGGTTGGGTTCTATAAATATATAATTATAAATGAAAATGAAAAAATAAATATACATAAATATCAATAACATAAAATAAATATAAAAGTACATAAATAAATAAAAGCCCAACCAGATGGAGGCCCTCGGCAGGGGAGACCAAACGGCCGAGGGTTAGGGGGAAAGGGAAAGAAACCGGCGGACGATGCGGGCGGTATCGAGGAGCACCGCCTCCTGCATTTGAACCTGGAGCGGTCCGCCACGTAGTCCCAGCCGCCTCAGATGACCCGAGAGGCTGACTGGGATTAGCCCGTTTGCAGAGACGACTACAGGAATAATTTCGGTCGGCAGACCACCCCACATGTCGGTCACCTCGTGAGCCAGGTCCAGATATTTTGTTTGCTTGTCTGTTTCGGCTTTCACGAGGTTCTCGTCATACGGAATGGTAATGTCGACCAAAAATATCCTTGATTGTGCCCGGTCCATCAGCACAATATCAGGCTTATTCGCAAGAATAGTCCTGTCTGTGATGATGGCCCGGTCCCAATAGAGCCTGGCGCGATCATTTTCGAGCACGGCTTCCGGCAAGTACTTGTAGTACGGCAATTTCCGGTCCACGAGACCGTATTTCAGAGCGAGCTCCTGGTGTAGAATTCTGGCTACTAGGTTGTGCCTGTGCAAGTACTCAGAGTTAGAAAGCGCCGAACAACCGGAGATAACATGCCTAAGTGACTCACCGGGATGGCGACAAGCTCGACAGATGTCGACGGTGCCATCCTTTAGGATGTATCTCCGATAGTTGTTGGTCTTAATAACCTGATCCTGTATTGCACAGACAAAACCCTCGGTTTCCCCCGAAGAGATCACCAAAGCGTAGCCAGTGGAGGGAGGCTACTGTGTTTACGAAAGGCTCATGTAGAGCCTTGTAGAACCTCCCGTGGAGCTCCTTCTCCTTCCATACGGTCTCTCGGTCGGAAATGCTCTGCACTGCCGGGTCTTGCCATTGCTCGTTGGCTAAGGATAGAGGAGTAAGTCCTTTATCACAAGAAATGACGTCCATATAGAATGGATCATCCGATCTCGCCAGGAAGTAATCACGGAGGCTGCACACTTCGCGATTATGCATGGTGAGCGCGCTCAAGAAGCCACGACCACCATGCTTCCGCGACAAGTACAGCCTCATTACCGACGATCTCGGATGATGCATCCTATGGGACGTCATGGTAGTGCGGACTTTTCTATCCAGGGCGTTAAGTTCAGTCTGAGTCCACCTGAGTATGCCAAAGGTATACATGAGGACAGGCATGACCCAGCCGTTATATGCGTGTGCCTTATTCACACCGGACAAAAGGCTGTTAAGCACTTTGGTCAAGCGTGCATAAAACACGTCGCAAACTGACTGTTTCATACCAGCCTCATCGATACCGATGTTCTGATGTACCGATGTATTATTATTATTATTATTATTATTATTTAGTGTTAACAAATTATATTTAAATATTTTGTGTGTGTATATGATTAAGCCGTGGTAGCTCAGATGGTTAGCGCAAGCTGTAAATTTTACAGTACGTAACGCGGGTTCGATCCCCGCCGACACCAATTAAATTGTTAATTGCAATTTTAAGTGTTTATTCTATTGACACACTTACTTTTCTTTCTGTTATTTTCTTACGTGTGTATGATTTAGTGTTAACAAATTATATTTAAATATTGTGTGTGTGTATATGATTAAGCCGTGGTAGCTCAAATGGTTAGCGCAAGCTGTAAATTTTACAGTACGTAACGCGGGTTCGATCCCCGCCGACACCAATTAAATTGTTAATTGCAATTTTAAGTGTTTATTCTATTGACACACTTACTTTTCTTTCTGTTATTTTCTTACGTGTGTATGATTTAGTGTTAACAAATTATATTTAAATATTGTGTGTGTGTATATGATTAAGCCGTGGTAGCTCAGATGGTTAGCGCAAGCTGTAAATTTTACAGTATGTAACGCGGGTTCGATCCCCGCCGACACCACTTAAATTGTTAATTGCAATTTTAAGTGCTGATTTACCAAGTGCTCGGCCGTGAAGGAAAACATCGTGAGGAAACCTGCATGTCTGAGAAAATTTCGAAGGCATGAAGTTCGCCAACACGCATTGAGACCGCGCCGCGGACATTTCCTAGCCATAAATACAAAGACAATAGCAGAAAGTAAAAAGTTAAAAAATACTTTTTTAACAATGACAGTCATTAGTTGATCATTAGTAAATGTGATTCTGTTTTCTTAAATTACAGGAAGAAAAGAGCAGAAGGAAGAAATGGGGTGATGGGAAGTAATGAAGAATGAATTGTTATGTGAAGTTTGTTGGAACAAACATATTTTAGTCACGTGTAAATACTTTTAACATTTTGATTCAAAATGACACAAAATCTAAAAAATATTAGATACATCATCGACATGGACGGATTTTACATTACATATCCTCATAAACATTTTCAATGTAGAGAAATGGCTATTCTAGACGTAAAACTATCTAATAAAAATGATTCGTTTATCGATCATTATTTGTTTCAGCCAAGTTATCCTTTCAATTATTTGTTGCCAAAAGACAAAAAAACTGTTCGTTATTGTGAAATACACGTGCACGGCATTCCATATTTTGATGTGACCGAAGAATTAAAATGTGCCTACAAACAAGAGAACATCATTCCCATATTAAATTGGTATATTAGAAATTTGTGCAAAGACGAAGTGATCGCATACAAAGGTGGTTCAACAGAAAAACAATTTTTAAAAATGTTGACGACGAATGATAGAATTTTTAATATTGAAGAATACAAATGTCCAAAATACAATGATTTGGTAAATGTCATAAATTTAAACAAACGTTATGTGTGTAATAATCATATATTTGCAAAAAATAATCACAAAATTTTACATTGTTCTTGTGACGAAGTGTGGGTTTTTACAAGTGGTTATTACTTGAAAATAAAATTTTAAATTAATCATAAATTTTGTTTGATTTCCAAAAAACATTAGACAAAATTGTTTCAACAGAAAAACAATTTTTAAAAATGTTGACGACGAATGATAGAATTTTTAATATTGAAGAATACAAATGTCCAAAATACAATGATTTGGTAAATGTCATAAATTTAAACAAACGTTATGTGTGTAATAATCATATATTTGCAAAAAATAATCACAAAATTTTACATTGTTCTTGTGACGAAGTGTGGGTTTTTTACAAGTGGTTATTGCTTGAAAATAAAATTTTAAATTAATCATAAATTTTGTAACTAATGTTTTTGGGAAATCAATCTTTACCAAATCATTGTATTTTGGACATTTGTATTCTTCAATATTAAAAATTCTAAAAGTAAAAGTAAAAGTATTTACACGTGACTAAAATATGTTTGTTCCAACAAACTTCATATAACAATTCATTCTTCATTACTTCCCATCACCCCACTTCTTCCTTCTGCTCTTTTCTTCCTGTAATTTAAGAAAACAGAATCACATTTACTAATGATCAACTAATGACTGTCATTGTTAAAAAAGTATTTTTTAACTTTTTTACTTTCTGCTATTGTCTTTGTATTTATGGCTAGGAAATGTCCGCGGCGCGGTCTCAATGCGTGTTGGCGAACTTCACATGCCTTCGAAATTTTCTCAGACATGCAGGTTTCCTCACGATGTTTTCCTTCACCGCCGAGCACGTGGTAAATCAGCACTTAAAATTGCAATTAACAATTTAAGTGGTGTCGGCGGGGATCGAACCCGCGTTACATACTGTAAAATTTACAGCTTGCGCTAACCATCTGAGCTACCACGGCTTAATCATATACACACACACAATATTTAAATATAATTTGTTAACACTAAATCATACACACGTAAGAAAATAACAGAAAGGAAAGTAAGTGTGTCAATAGAATAAACACTTAAAATTGCAATTAACAATTTAATTGGTGTCGGCGGGGATCGAACCCGCGTTACGTACTGTAAAATTTACAGCTTGCGCTAACCATCTGAGCTACCACGGCTTAATCATATACACACACACAATATTTAAATATAATTTGTTAACACTAAATCATACACACGTAAGAAAATAACAGAAAAAAAAGTAAGTGTGTCAATAGAATAAACACTTAAAATTGCAATTAACAATTTAATTGGTGTCGGCGGGGATCGAACGCGCGTTACGTACTGTAAAATTTACAGCTTGCGCTAACCATCTGAGCTACCACGGCTTAATCATATACACACACAAAATATTTAAATATAATTTGTTAACACTAAATAATAATAATAATAATAATAATATTCCACAACTATCACACAACGCCATCTAGTCCCAAGCTAAGCAGAGCTTGTGTTATGGGTACTAGACAACTGATAAACATACTTATATATTTCTAAATACATAAATATTATAGATAAATTACACCCAGACACAGA